CTCTCCCTGGACTGTTTATTTCTAACAGCGACGAGGATATCATGATTAAAATAAGCGCTTTGGAAAAGGGCTGGAAAATAAAAGGCAGCAACCTAATGGTAAGAAAAAAACTAATAAGTGTACATTGTTATGTAATAACCTAGTTCCTCGAAAATGTTGTAGTACTACCGAATACCTTTTCGTCTCATAACTGACCATGAACGATTTCTGGATTGCAGTTTACAAAAGATTCTTTAAATTTATCCTACTGCAAATTTTCATTGCGATTCACGCGGGCCAGTGTTGTTCACTTTTAGAAAATTTGAAGTCGGCTGAAAAAACTTGCATCCGTTCGTGTAGTGTAATAGCGACCTTCAGATTTGATTACGAGCACGATTTTATGAAACAATGAAAATCCAAAGTTGTTCGCGTTCTCAATCTGGTACTCGTACCGCTGTGTCTAAAGGTCGCTAATAAGTGTTTCACGGTGGATCTGATGAGTGTCTAAAGTGAGTCTGCACCGTGGGCCTTTTTTACACAATTGAGCAAACAATGGCAAAGTAAAGTTTATTTTTTAATTAGTGCAGTCTGTAGTATTTCTTTCTTGATAATTAATTGCCAGAGTTTTTAAAGTCTGGTTTGTATTTTTGAAGAAGGAAGGCACATTGTATGTTATACAGTGGTACCTCCACTGTATAACGAACCTCCATATAACGAAGTCCTCGATATAACGAACGATATTCCTCGCCCTAGTAGTAGAAAAACACATGGAAAGGAATCTTGATACAATAAAACCTCGTTATCGCGAACATATTTTGCTAGTCCCCATGCGCTTCGTTATAACGAGGCTCCACTGTAGTAATGATAAGTGATTTTATCAGAGGCACCCGAAGGATCGTTTCGGTAAATTATCTGTTAGAAAGACCTTTAATCTCCACTGATTTTCCTAACAGAACTTCCGTGATATCTAGATCTGTTGTTTTCGAATTGATAAAAATGTCGTTCTGGGGACCAAAACCAGGTCAGCCATGAATTTCGGAAAGGCAATAAGACTAAGGTTTTTGGGAAATTGCCAGAAAAAAACCGTAATTAAAACAGAAGACTCTAGTTCCCTTTAAAATGAGCGAACAGACAGAAATATTATAGCGCAGCCTAAAATTAACCTCCACATAAAGAGCTTTAAAAGCACTCCAGATAGCCTAAAACAGTGTTTTATAGCATTTGAGAGAANAACTGTCGCTGGGTGCCCCTGTTCTGTCACCGCAATTTATTAAGGCTCTCTCTAGTCAAACCTGTGTTCTTGAGACTGGGAAACGAAATCAACCGACAAGAAAAATAATAACCTGTTGACCTTTGAATTAATCGTATTATCCTTTTATTTTATGTTTAGGCGATTAAATCAAAAGACGCGTGGAATTCGCCTGAAAACTCTGCTGACTTTCCCTGCTGCGTTTTTGAGATTGTTCATG